TGACATCTTACCTTTACAGAGGTACCAAAAGTTTCTTCTCAAACCTAATAGCTGTGAGGCTATAAGTGATTTACTTTTGTGTGTTTTTGTCAGGCAGAAATTTATTTATACCCCCTTAGGGTGTAAGAGGTTAAGGTGCTAACTCAACCTGCAGAGTCTAATCTGAAGGTATTTAGACTTCTGCAGCTTTGAACATTTTATGTTTTGGACTTGAATTGAATTTGTATGTAGTTGAGTCTGTCTATGTTGGGTGCCTTACACTGTAAAGCAGACTCCAGGTGCGGCCCACACCTTGTACCCTACAAAATCCCACTGAATTGTCTTTCTTTTACAGTCTTCTGTCTGCTGCAGTTATTTGCTATGGCGCTTTTTCCTTCCACTAGACTTTCTATTGATATGCAATAGAACCCTGCATTTTTTTTCTATTAACCTTGTAGTGCCTATCGAACATACTGGCTCTCTTTTGTAAATCTGTCAAGTCATGGTTGCACAGGCCATAACATATCTATTAAGCTTTCTTTTTCAATGATCTTATTTAAAAAAATTTTTTGAGGAGTTGGATTTATGATTTTCATTAGCTTTAACCTAAAAGCATAAATTCTAATCCCTATGTGTAATGAGTCTCTTTATTATATTAATTTTGCTCCCTTACTTATTGAAATCTATTATTTTTCAGGGATATTTAATTTTTTCTGAGAATCTCTCCTGTTTTATGAGAAAAGTCTGTATAATAATGCTAATCTTCCTTTGAGTTTATCAGGGAGAAGAAGGAGGACTTTTAAACTCCAAAATGAGAAAACAGAAAAGTTAACATTAGAGCAAAGTATCTCAAACTGTTATTAATTGTGTTTGACCTCTGAGTCTTGCACATGCTCAGTCTGCATCGCAAATATAACGGCAATTTGCAGCCAACAATTATGTGTGAAATGAGAAGCCCTGGCGGTCCGTGGCCTGCATGATAATGCTGTCTGCGTTTATAAAAAAAAACAAAAAACCTATAATCTACCTAAATAGCTGGCATACTCATAGCATGTATCATCAGCTATAGACACAAGGAAAAGCTGATCACCTTCTTTCTTTATAGGTTTGGAACCAAAAAATAAAAAAAGGTGCGAACAAAAATAAGAGTTAAAAATTCATCCAAGCTCGATATGTGAAAGCCCACACAGGATGTTGTTTTTTAAAAGTTTGATCAAGACCTACACATTCTTTGCCGTCAGCGGACTGATAAAAGTGGGATTGTCTTATTTTATGGAGCTTTTCACGTTGTCAGGACCTACAGCATCCCTAGTCACTTTAAAGAATGCAACAATCAGCATTCTGAAGAGCTATCGTATCATTTGACAAACAGCCCTGTTATGTAACCCGCCGTCTTCTGGAAATGTCTGCACACTTCAAGGTCTGCAAGACCAGCAGTTTTTTTTTGTATATTTGTTCTTTTTTTCAACAAATAAACTTTAAGAGATGAGACTGCACTGACGAACGTGAAGCATATCGAGTCTATTTGTACAGTCTTTTGATAAATGATGTTGTCAGCTGCTGAGAGAGGCTGTGGGCCGACTTTGTGTCCTGGGCAAACAGATAGCTCCCATCCTGGAGCCTGGCTGCTTGGCTGTCACCCTCCGGCCTGTGTTTGTGTCCCTTTCTGGGAAGTGAAAAGTAGACGCTGGCAGAATACCTTCCTGCCATCTCTGGTGCCAGTGCAGGACGGCTCTCTGCCCACAGAGGGAGCGTTCTGACTGGGATTGAGCATAATGTGTGTGTGAGTGTTGTGTTTGGCAGAGGATCTGGATGCTGGGGAGTTCTCAGGCTGTTTCCGAGCCCACTCTGCCTGCTCTCTGTGTGTTTGTGTAGGTTTTTATTTCAGTGTGTGTGTTTGTACCAGCTCTGCGGTGGGTCATGACTCAAAGGAAGGATTCAGAACACACGGTTCTGAACTCAACAGAAGGCCCGAGGGACAAATACAACTCAGCACAGCACTTTTTCCCCCCTCTGTCGTTCTCTCTTACAGTCCTTTCATAACTCTTCTCTCTTTCCTTTATCTTACCTTCCCATTCACTTACTGTTCTCTTAATTCCTCTGAGAATCTGTATGTGTACTTACATTTAAAATGACTGAATTAGAAAATTATTTGAAAGATCTGCTTTTATAACCAAGCTGCGGGTAACATGGCCGCATGAATTCATTTAGCATAAACATGATAATGGAAGAAATTTTTTAAACAAAATATGAAAACAAAAATCAGTATAGTTTGGAAAATTTAAAGGCATTATTCAAACAATAAAAACAGCTCCTATATATATTGCTGTATATATATTGCTGTTAAAATAACCATGCATGCATTTGTTAGTGGTACCAAGGCATTAGCACACCTGTTCCAATTTCAATAACATAAGAAATTATTTATTTCATTATTGAAATAAAAATAGAGGCTCATGTTATCTAGGCTTATTAGACCCACTCTGATGTAATTCATTTGTTTATTTCCTTCTATAAAAAAAAAAAACATGGCACATAACTAGAGCTGCATCTAAGGATTATTTTGCTAATCGATTAATCTGTCGATAACTTCAATGATTAATCGATTAATAATTGGATTTCAAAAACTTCCCTAAAGATTATTATTTATTCATTTATTTCTATTAAACAGGCTAAAACTAAAAAAAAAAAACCATTTGAGGAGTTTTGGATAAAGCATATTCTGCTTGCTGCAGCTTACTCTGTCAGCTAAAAGCATGTTTTAGAGTCTCTATACTTCAATTAATGATTAATCGATTACTAAATTAGTTGACAATTGTTTCAATAATCACAATTACTCTGATTATTTTTTTCAGCTCCTGTTATAGCTAATAAAAAACTATTTATTGTAAACGGAAATATTTAAGACAAGAGATCAATTACCACCTAAAAACCATCAGCATCTACAACTAATTAAAATAAACCCCTGGAATGAGTTTCATCAGCATTTTTCTCTCTTTTGGGGATAATAAACCAGTTTTTTTTGTTTTGAAACACTTTGTATCGACTGATCTGAGTTTGTATTATTATTATGATTCTCTTGTTTCTAAATGTTTTCTAAAAATATTAGAACTGTAAATTTATAGTAATTTTTACTATTTTTCAAGGCTGCATTTATAAAGAATAAAATTGTCCAGTGAGCTGTTTCCAAATGAATTTTCTTTTTGTTTTACACTTGTGCAAACAAAATGACAAATAAAATCTGTCTTAAGTCTAAAAAAGTCTAAAGTCTAAAATGCACCCGTTTTTACCAAATATATCAAAAGTCTGAAAGCCTTTGGTTTAAACCTTCTTTCTTTCTCTCTTTATCACAGAGTAACTGTGGGGAGGTTCTGCGTATCCGACGGGTGCTGATGAACTCACCAGAAATAGTGTCCATCGGGCTGGTGTGGGACTCGGATCATTCTGACCTAGCAGAGGACGTCATCCACAGCCTGGGAACATGCTTGCGTCTGGGAGATGTAAGAGGCTCAAATGTTGCGCACATTATATCCCCTCTCTTAACTATTTATTCCATGTGAGACACAAACAAGCTCATGTAAGCTGAGAGATATATTTCCAATAGAGATGTATATAAATTGTCCTGTTTTTCTTTTTGCATGTGAAGCAGGGATTGTTAATGGATGTTAATGTCTGTGGTTGTAGATTTAGGTGTAGGAGGATTTGACAGCAGCAAAACTGGGCAGACTAGGGTTTTAGCTATATAGGAATGAATAAATGGTAAACTATGTGACAATTTTTTATTCTTCTTCTTCCTCCTAGATTATTTACCATCATTCCCTCAGGATCACTTTCATTTTTTTATTCTCGCATATTAGGATTGCAGCCCCCCACAGTTCTTTGCAGAACTTCACATGAGTCTTTCAGAAGATGAACTAGGCTTCTGAATTATCATCTTTATGCAGAGCCAAAACAATAAATTGGCCTTTAGCTGGGTTTACAGAGCAAATAGGGTGTTTTAAAACAAAGTTGTGAAACAAAAAAGTATTTCCAGTTGTGCTTCTAAAACTGAAATGTGTCACATTTTTGTTCATAAAATAAGACAACAGTTTTAATATTGTTTTCCAAATAAAAAAAAAACAGCAGTTTTTATTAGGAATAGGTCTAATGTACCTACATCCCCTAACTGAAAACACAGAAAGAAGATGAAGTAAGCTCCAGTGCTAAAATCTGGAAACAAGCAGGAAGCCTGGATAAAGCTCTATGAAAATAAATCAATGAAATGGATGGATTTCCCTTGGAAATATGATTTGTCCGAAGTTTATAAAGAGATTGGACACTTTAAGGCTGGAATAACCCAAACCTCAAGGAAGAATACATAGCAAAGGTCATAAGCAGAGTCAACAGCCAGACCACCAATGTTGCTGTAGATGTTATTTGAGAGCAGAATAGTAATGTGCGAAGAATGTTTCCATTTTCCAGTAATTAACAGAAGCCCCCCCCCCCCCCCCCCCCATCATTTTCTGATATCAATATTATAACATTTCCTTGCAATCACCATAGGTGTTTCATTAGCTTTTAAATCCCAGGGTAGGTTGCTGGTTTGCAAAGTTTCCAAGCTTTTAGAGCCCGGGAAGATTTCTTATGGCCTCCTTAGTGTATAAATGTGGGTATTTCCCATATAAATCTTCATAAATTTTTATTGAAAGGTCTCGCTGTAGTGACTGTTCATCATCCGTACCCAAATTTGATGAAAATTAGTCGCCTCTCTGCGAGTTTTGGCTCTGTTATTTGCCCTTTAATGTACACTTATAGATGGTGGGAGTAAAATAATTTTGAACTTACATTATTTAAAACTGTTGAACTATTTTAAAGTTTTACAGAAGAATAAAGACAGATTTCAAGACTGATTTTTTAGTTGCTCTAGAACGCATTTTTATATCACAGCAAAGTGACAAAGAGATTTTGCCTAATTAATTAAATTCAGCCTGAATCTCCATTACATATTTATTTTTATTGTGTGAAAACAATCTTCACAATATATTAATTTTTTTTGTTTTTCAAGCTGTAACTGGATGGCAATGAAACTCATTTAACATACGGCAGCAAAAAAGAACACTTGGCAGGATTTATTAAAAACACAAGTAATACAAAAACACGTGGACTTCAGAAACAGTTGAGTATTAAGTTTTTAGCATAAGGTTTATAAAAGATTGTAGTTTGTCAGTAAGAAGTTATATATATCATGCTTCAAAAAAATAGATTAGTTTTTTGAAATAACTTATAATGTGATTTGGTAGCGAAAGCATCTTAAAAATAACATACTGATTTCTAGGATAGCACGCATCTGGGTTCAGCGTTCAAATCTTTTGTTTAAAATTTTTTTAAATGAAGATTCATTTTCAAGCAATGGTCTTTGATTGTGTTGAAATGTCTATTAATTTTGCTAAACAGCTTTAATATAATATACCGTACATCAGCCAGCTTCGTAATCAATCAAAAATCTCAATGAAAGAGCTATTCTATGGAATGATCATGTCATTAATTCATAGAAGTGAGAATCTTGATCAAATTAAAAATAAATTAGGATAAATTAGGAACAATTAGTCAGTTGGACATTAAATGACAGATTGGATACCCATCTGCAGTATGATGGGTATTGCTCCTGAATTAGTGCGGTAAACCAAGAAATGCTCAGCCAAAAGTAAACCTCTAAATCTACTGATCATTGTATGTTTTAACCCTTGCCAAAGGTCACAAAATGATCGTGACTGGAATAATAAGATGCTGGAAATAAGCAGCTGAGATGGGCTTCTTCTGCATATGCTAATTATTTGGTCATCTCTAAGATTTCCACTGTATGATAACCTTGAGTAAAACTATGACTGATTCATACATATATCTACAGGATTTGAATGGTGGATTTGCAGTACGCTAATCAAGGGTTATACTGTAAAGCTAGCGCTTTTCCCACATCTCTTTACTTGTGCTTTTTACTCGACACTCAGACAGCCTTATTCACCTCACATGTTTGACCCCTGACACTCTTAGTCATAACTGAGTAATGTTGATGCATCATGATGCCGCTGTAACCTCTCCAGCAGCATTTTGAAGCGATATCTATGAATAATGGATTAGTCAACATGAGTATGTGTTACAGTGAGTCAAGATATGCCCCCCCCTTTCTCTCCCCCGTTTTCATCCTGCGGTTGTGCGATGAACTGTTAGATAAAAAGAAAAAAAACCTAAAGTCTGGCTTATTGAATTTTTCCTCTTGTGTTTAGCAGTTAAAAGAGAATCCATCTGCCTCTCGTTTCCTCGAGCCGCAGCTTCTACTCTCTGTCTTCTGCACCTGTTTCCCAAAAACACTTCTAAGCTCTTTTATTCCTCATATTGGATCAGTTTTTGTTGCTGAAACCAATAGTCTGCTATACAAATTGGATTTTGATGATCTATTATTACTGTGAGTCATTTAGCAAAGAAAAATTCCAAAAGATATTCCGGCTGCAGCTGGTAAAACTTAATATACAAGCTGCTGTTCTCCACTGTATGTTCTTCTTTTGAGTTTGCCAAGAAAGAAGGAGCAGTTTGCACTACGAAAATTATTTTGTGCCCTTAAAGGAATAGTACTCCTTTAAAAACAAAGCGAGTTGTAAAATTGAAACTTGCAGCCCCTGCATAAAGGTTATGTAAAAGTACTGTTAAAAGGAGTAGCCAGACTTTTCTTTGTACTTTTTTACCTAGAGAGCAGTTCATTTTCTTTTTGTTTTTAATCATAATTCAATCAAGACAAATCCCACCATCCCTGAATTGAATCTTTAGGTAAAAAAAATGCCTCTGGCAAAGTCACAAAAGGCAGAATGAAAATGCACAAAAGTCTTTGTGCATGGATTATTCCATTTTCTTCTTTACTTACATATTTTTATTTCAAATTAAGCTTTTATTTGGCTCCAAACATCTGAGCTGTATGTAAAAAATATGCATTTTAGTAAGATTCAGAAAGCAGTTTGTGAAGAAGACCAGAGCAGATGAGAACGACCAGCTTTCATTGTCAAAGGACGATCAGAAGACAGGTTGTTACGGTCGATATGTTCCTTTAAAATTATTATTGTTAAGTCCTAAAACGCCTCCTGGAGTAGAGCATGTTCCATTGAAAATGAGTCTGGTAAGACTTTCTAAATCCAGCCTGATCCTGCCAGTTAGCCCCACCATGCATGCCCCTGCAGTACAACCAGTGGTGGTTAACATAAAATACAATTTAACAGGCATAAAGTGCTAAAAAATAAAAAAAATAATGCATACAAGAAAAGCCTCTTTTATTCAAAAGGCACCATAGAGTTCTGAGTAAGATCTGAGCAGTATATGATCAGTGAGAATATCCGTGAGTGCGTTGATAATGTTGCATGCAGATAAGACGTTTAGCCTGTTGGATGGAGTCTCACTGCAGTAAATGCCCCCTCATTAACATTGATAAAACAGTCCAGGATGTTAAATTTCACGGAACGCAATAGAAGCAATATGTCACTGCCAATTTTCTATAATCATTTACCTCCATTCTGAAGTATTTATATGCTGAAGTCAAGGGTAAACTGTATCTTTGTGGAAAACAAGCTCATTCAGATTGGATAGAGTAAGAGATTAATGTGCGGGACTTCCATTCACTTTAAAGGCTGTATCCGATGCTTAGAGCTGCTCTAGCTCAATTAGAGATGCTGTATGATTATATTGAACTTTTTAATAATAACAAAACCAAAACATTAAAAAGTTCAAGAGGTTTTATTATTTTTGTAAGGTGTTGTATAGCCTTAGATGCTGTACTTTAGCTGTAGCCCTCCTGCTTAGAAAAGCGGCAGTTTCTTTGCAGTTTGCATGAAACTTCCCACATGCAGCCCATCTAGTAGGTGAATAAAATATGCTTGTTTTCATATTAACTCATTTGTACCCCCTCCCGCCCAACTCCCTCTGCCTACGGCACATCTCTTCCCTGATGCCCCCCTCCCTTCCTGTCTGCTCCCTCCTCCTCCTCTATCTCTCTCCATAGTTGTTTTACCGTGTTACAGAGGAAAGGGCTCGCCAGGCGGAGCTCTACTTGGTGGGCATGGTGTGCTACTACGGCAAGCACTACTCCACCTTCTTCTTCCAGACCAAGATACGCAAGTGGATGTACTTTGACGACGCCCACGTCAAAGAGGTGAGGCAGTTTTATTCCATCCTTTTTTTTTTTTTTTTTTGGGTTGTCCTCATGCTGCAGAGAGAGGAGGCTGCACTGTACGGCATCTGCTGCATCCTCAGCTGTGCCGGTGAGAGCAGGAAGGACAGAAACTCTGCTGTGTCTTACTTTAAGTGCTGCATGCTCAGGTCCTTTTGCTGCACTGAGGATTTGAAAATAAATAGTTTGACTTTTATTTTGTAGCATTATTTAGGGCTTAGCTTTGTTTTTTATCTAGGCATTGCACCTGTTACCATATTTTGTGTGGAATGTAAGGATTAGTGTCAGCAAACCGGTGTAAGTGGAAACATCCTTGACTCTTTTGTCAGTCACACTTCACAGTGTTTATCACATTAGAGGGTTTAGCTAATGACAGAGTGTGACAAATTTGAATAATAGATCTTTTTGGAAAAACATCAGCAAAGACTCTGTGTGACCTTCTACTTTCTATTTATGTACCAAGTTCTACTTCAGTGCTGACAGAATAATTTCCATCATGTGTCTCTGCGCAAATGTGTGTCTTTATGTCCTTTGGTGCATCTGCTCTCCTGCTGCATCTCCAGATCGGCCCAAAGTGGAAGGACGTAGTGTCTCGCTGTATTAAAGGCCACTACCAGCCCCTGTTGCTGCTCTACGCTGACCCCCGTGGGACGCCGGTGATACTGCAGGAGAGCCCCAACCCGTGTACTGGCTCCAACCCGCAGCTGGAGCTCCAGCACTGCAGCAGCAAAGCTGGTTACGACAGTGAGGACTCAGGTACAGCAAAGATAAACACTCTGCTGCACATCAGATGGGATTATTTTGTCTTTATCATCTGCTTGCATGAGATGATTTAACAATGATGCTGTGACCTTCAGTGCTATAATCTGACCTTTGCTTGTTTTTTACTGCTGGAGGCTGGGATTGTTTTTCTGGCCTTTGACTGGTGACAGACTGCAAGCGTGCAGGATTACCTTAGAAGGGTCACCTCTTTTTTTATCTTTCAGGTCGGGAGCCATCCATATCCAGCGACACTCGCACCGACTCTTCGACGGACAGCTCGAGCCACCGTACGTCCCGCAGCCGACCCTTGCACCAGTCCACGGGCAGCCGGCTCTCCAGTGAATCCCAGACTACAGTGGTCTGTAGCCACGACACACCGCCACTTAGTGCTGACACTGGAGGTAAGACCACATGGAATAAGGCAGGTGATCTGTCTTCCCATTAAACTTTTGGGCAAAAAAGCTCTTTTTGTTACATAACTTGTTGTTGTTTAGATTATTTATAGCTCACTTTTCTGCCAAGAGCCCTTCCATTTTTTCCCCCACATTATCATGTTATCATTTAAATGATATTCCAACAGAATCAATTATTATCTTGAAAAAAAAAAAACTCTAAAACAAAACTGATGCATAACAGCCTTTACTTTAATACCTTAATCTGTAAGTAGAGCTCACCTGTGTGTGACAAACTGGGTTTGAATACAGCTGATCCATGAGGGCCTTCAAGGTTTGTGAGATAACATTAGTAAACAGGCAAGTTTAAGCAGCCAGTAGTCCTGTTTTAACTTTGGATGAGCTGCAGAGCACCTCTGCTAAGGTTGTTGCTAAGAAGTTTTTCAAATAAGTCATTGAAGGAAGACAGAGAGCACATATATAAGGGGAGTTGCTTAGATTTGACAGAAATAAAACCTATATTACCAGCATGCAAAATGAGTTGCGATAAACTAACCCCAAACACATAATCTCCAGTGTGAAACATGGTGGTGGCAGCATCATGCTGTGGGGAGTTTTTTTTTTTTTTTTTCAGAAAAGAAATGGAATACCAAGGAAAAGATTAATAGGGGATTTCTTAAGAAAAAAAATGGCTAAGCAATAAATCATTGTGATGCACAGCTGATGGAGGCTTTCTCCCAAAGCCTGCAGATGTTTCTGCTTCTCTCTTTGTTCCTCCATCTCACATTTTTGGTCTAAGCTGTTGTGCACAGTTGGGCCTGCCCATAAAACCCAATAAAATACCTGATGGTTTCTGGATATTTTGTGGAAGAGGTACAAACATTTTAGCTTCTAACTGTTCATGACAATTTAATGAAGGCGCTCTTTGGATAAGTGATTTAAACTAACATTTATAAGTTGTCGCTTTTTTTTTTTTTTTTTTTAGCGATAGAGTTATCTTTGGAGCAACACTAGTTGTGGATTTAGTTTAGTGCAAACAAAGGCCAGTTTTTTTAATTATTCCTTTCTCTGTCGTCACTGCAGATTCTTCAGGTTGTTTAGCTCATTGGTGCACATTCCCACATTTATTTGCACTGCCGCCTGCATAATTGCTCCCTGTGGGATAAATAAAGCTCTTATTGGTTTTACTTGCTTCTCCTCTCCCTGTCGTTTCTCCCACGCTCAGAGTCAGCAGTGGATCCTCCAACCCGCCACCCCTCTCCTCCCCTGCAGGAGTACAAGGAGACGGCAGTCTTCCTCCTGTCTTCACGCAGGCCCCTCACCTCCTCCTCCTCGTCCTCCCGCCCCCTCTCGTCTTCGTCTTCGTCTGGAGTCGGGGGCTGCGAGGGCGGGGCTGGGGGTCCCCACTGGGAGGATGAAAGCACCAGCAGTGAGAGCAAGTCCAGGTACTGCAATCAGAACTCCAAACATGTTGCTAAATTCACTTTTTGAGCCTTTAAAAGTTTGGGATCTGATTAAATGTTCCGAAATGTTAGCCTTACATCATATTTTACATTGATTCAGATCATCCTTATTGTTTTTGTGCTTTAACGTCAGAGGCGCAAGTGACCCTAACGGTACATGATACACCCGTATGATAAAAGTAATTTTACAGTTATATTTTTTTCTGGCCTAGGACCATTGTAGGTCTTGTTTTGTATTGGATAGTCCTGAATAATCATAGAAACATCAAAAATAGTGGAAATTCTGTTGAAAACATGTAACCATGATAACGGCTGTTAAAATATGTAGTCTGATGTAAAATGGCTCATAAATCCACACAGCCCTGTAAAAACGGCCAACATTTCTGGTGTTATATAATGAGGCCAAGATAAATCATTTAAACACTTTTTTCCACAAAAAATGTGAGTTTTATGCTGTGAAATACATCCGTGCAAAAAAAAATCTGAAATGCAGAAAATACAATTTGTGCAATTATACAATTTAAGTTTTGAAATTATATTACACCGAAGCATCTTCTCTTTCCTCTATCAGTTATTGACTCTGATTAACCAGAAAAACAGTTCAGCTATTTTTTCAGTATATAATCCTAACTTCAGACAAGTGGATCAGTGGATCCCCTATTTTTAAAATAAGATGTTACAATCCTGCTCCCAAAAGAAATCTTCTTGTAGTCTGACATATTTACAAACTGTTAGTGTTGTATCTTTTTTAACCCGGAAATAAGGAATAGATATCATAAAAAAAAATCGCCAGATTTTAATCTTTCCATTATTTGGCTCAGATAGGCTTGGGGCCAATCTGTAACAGTGCCAACGACACACAATGGTTGGAAGACAGCTGGATATTCTACCCCTCACCACTCATACACACAGCATCCCAGCGACAGATCTCCAACTAAATTTAGCTTTAAACCCTTTAAATGGCCTCATTTTCAGCCTATATCCAAACCAGCAGAAACATAAAGAATTGGAAGGGGATAAATGTTGAACTATGTCCTTTGATTAGTTGTTTAGACACTATGCATGAAAAAAATTTGTCGGTTAGTTTAAAAAAAAAAAAAAAAAACGGCAAACAATTTTCATAGGACTCCACTGGGGCTAAAAATGGATTGGTGTGTGGAATGTGTTGCATGCTGGGAGAGGGGGGAAGAGAAAGAGAGCTTTATTCTCTAAACTGATGCACCTTAGAACGTTTTCCAGGAGCGGGGACCCCATAATTATTTATATAAATATATATATATATATATATATATATATATAGTATGAAATTGTGTTATTGTGGGGGAGGTTGGAATATAAAAAAAAAAAAGTTTTGCGACCCCCATGGAGTACCTCCATGGGCCCCTAGGGTTCATGGACCCCCGGTTGAAGACCTCCGCCTTAGAGCTAGGCTATAGGTAACAAACAGTACTGATATTTGGGATATAAAAAAAAACAATTATAGAACTGTGCGCTCTAAGCTTAGGTTGGTATGAGTTTTATCTTTACAGCTTCACCATTTTTAAAACAAGCAGGTTTTTTTTTTTTATTTCAAACAGAAAAGAAGCATTTTTTTCCTGCTGCTCCTAAAATGATAAGCAATACAGTCTTATAATTCTGTACCTCTGGACAAATATTTACATTTGCTGTCTTCTTTTAACTAGACAACACTTCAGTGCTTTAGCTAAAGCCTTACTTTACACAGAGATGATTAAATATGTTATTGTTTTTCAAAATGCTGATAATCCCAACAAAAACAAGACATTAATAAATATGGCTTTTCATGATAATTCAAGGTAAGTAGTAGAACTACAGTAGTAGCTATTCAAAATTTCCCCACTTTTTTGATGGGCCCTTGGCTGATCCTTGGCTAGTCCCCTACAAATCTTTTTTAAACTTCCAAAATATGCTTTTTTTCATTCATGATTTGTAGAAATTAAGATCTAAAGAGAAGTGTCATCTTCTCAGACTCTGTAATTCAATGAAAGGGTGGAGTCGGAGTAAAAAATGTGCATGCCCAGGAGAAGGCCAGTGGTTGGAAGTTGGAGGGGATTTTGCTCCCATTCATCTGGCTTTTGACTGGGAAGGGCCATTTTAAATGGCTGCTAATATAAATCCCAGATATTATTTAGCAGCTGTTTACCATCATCTAAAACGCTTTTCTATATGTTCTCATTAAACTGACTTATTAGTTTATCTGGTTAAATATTAGATGTCCTAACATTTATTTAATGCAAAATTTCACTCTTGGCAGCAAGGACTTCTTTGTTATTTTAAGTTTAACATGTAATGGGCTTATACCAATAAAATGTAAAGACAATAGAAAATTAAAGGAGGGATTAATCAAGTTTTCATCTTCAAGTTAATGTTTTTATCGTAGGATTAATAAAACAATTAACTCCATGTTGTTGCAGCGGATTGTTATGAAATTGCTTTAGAATTACATAAAGGAAAACAAACATAAATCTATGCAATATGGTCATTTGCAGTGATTTACATGAAGAAGATTAAAACTATGACTCTTTTTCTAAAATAAACGCTGCGACCTTAAAGCCATTCTGCTGCCTGTTCTCTACAGTTTAATTACCTCTTCCTCACTGCCCACGCCTCAATTACCATTTGCTTTCTGAATATAGATGTGAACTTTGAGTCTCTCTTCAAATATGTGTTCATACTCATCAAGGTTTATATCATTTCTTGTTTCTTGAAACCATAGCAATAAAAAAAAAAGTTTTGCATAAGTGCTAATTAAAGCTAAATGTAAAAACTTAATCGCAGAGTTACCACACAGACTGGAAGAGTTTGGAATTTGATTTAAGTCTCAGTTATCCAATTGCCCATCTGTCCAGAGTTAGCAGATGCTTTTAAAACTAACCTACTTTTTTGTTTGTATTAGTTCTTCTGGAAGCCGTTATCGGCCAACCTGGAGGCCCAGGAGGGAGGCTCTGAACATTGACAGTATCTTCACCCGACAAAGAGACTCCTCTCTGGGCTACAGCACTGCACCAGGGTCCTCTCTTCTTCCTGAGCCTCAGCAGTCCCTCCCCTTTGTGGGACCACAATCAGGACTGGAAAACACAGAGGGAAGGGAGACCAGGGAGGCCGGGTTTGGGCTGGTTGGTCAGCCCAGGTTTTCCAGTGCAGGGCGGACTATGGGTCCTCCTGTTCCTCCACCTCTGAGAGGGGTGGAGCACCAGCCACGTCTGATCCAGAGAATGGAGAGTGGCTACGAAAGCAGTGAGAGGAACAGCAGCAGCCCTGACAGGTAGGACAAGCACACATATCAATTACTGTCTCTGGCTCTTAGTGTCCATTGTCCATCATGTTTTCCTCTTGTGGTTTCTCTTCCTTTTTTCCTCTCATTTTCCAATTTATCGGCACGAAACATAAATGTGACATTAACGAGAACAAATCGGCCAAAAAGAAGTGCTCCATAAAAAAAAAATTAAATGAAGCCCTGAACATATTAGAATGTGTGGGTTGTCTCATTTATCAGCATTTGCCCATTTTCTTCTGCCTTTCTTGCTGTCTTCACCCTTTATGCCTCTCTGCAGGGAGGTGGGGCAACAAAAACGGGTGCTGATGTCAGGACCGTCATGGCGATCGGTGCCCAAGTCGAAAAGCAGTGGTGCTATCACACAGGAGCTGCCACACCCCTGCTGGGTAGGCGGCTGTGCCACAGGTCTGTCCCCCCCCTTCATGCAGTTACATACAGCTTCTGCAACTTCTGTTGGTGTGATTGATTATTAATCTACTCTGCAATCTTATTCTGTCTTCAGGCGCTGGCCGCAGTGAGCTTGATGAGCTGCAGGAGGAGGTGGCGAGGAGAGCCCGCCAGCAGGAGCAGCAAAAACGCAAGGAGGCTGAGCAGGAAGCAGCCATGGGATTCAACCCCAGACCCAGCAAGTTCATGGATCTGGACCAGCTGCAACACCAGGGTATGGAGGAAAAAAGGATAAGAGCATGGCTCAACATTTTATACACATCAATTAGTACTAAGGAGAACTTATGGGGTACCGATGGTACTGTGCACTATGAACAGGTATCATCTGATATGGAATTTCTTCTCTTTTTTTCCCCAGTACTTACTGTATGCAGGCTGTTTAAAGGTCTATATGAGGGGGAATGTCTTTAAACTGATTACTACATTGTCATTGACAACCCTTTATTTACTGTACCTTGTCGCAAATCCATTTAAATCCATCTGCTCAAATGATACAACTTAAAGAGTTTCATGAAGATTCACTAAATTCTTAAACAAAAAAAATGTAAGCTTTACATAAAATATTTTTTATTGTATGTAAGAATTTTGTTCGCAGCAGCAAAAGCAAGCTGTATACATAGTAAATGCCAACATTTACTAGTAACTTTAACTATTTACTAAGAGCTAAACCCAATTTAACTAAAGCACTTATTGTCTTAGTACGTCCTTGAAAACTAATAAATCATAGGTGTCATGTAGGTCCTCCCATATGTAACCTATAATTTTCTCAGTGGCTACCTTGCAGCTCTGTACTGCTGATACATCATACCTCTGTGCTCTGTAAGTACATAAGGGTGGACAGTAAGTACGGCAAAATAAGTAGCTAAAAAATACTAGAGGTGTAGAAAAATACTAAAATCCATTGACCATAATTTAATACTCAGGTCAGCCCCCATCAGCTGTTTCTTGAGGTGCCTAAAACAAAATGGAAGCTCAGGGGGATCATGATTTCTCTACGGCAGCTCCAAAAATGTTAAACGACCTTCCAATGTGAATTAAAGTGTACCTCTCTGTCTGATTTTATATCGCTCATAAAAACACATTTCTTTGGCTTGGATTCAAAACTGTGAGATGTGGATTTTAACCTGTGATCAATTATTTAAAATTATTTTTATTTTTATATTTCACTATTCATTTATTATAGATTTTATACTCTTATTTGTAATTCATATCTTTTATGGTTTAATAATTTTTAATTTTTTTTATTTATGTCCTCTGAGTCTGTGTAATGGTTTTATATTGTTTCATTGTACAGCATTGTACAGCACTTTGGTAAGAAATTTTAAAGTACTTTATAAATAAAGTTAGATTGGATTGGATAATTGGATGATTTTTAGCTTGATCGGCTGCAGATTGATCGTTCCTAGCTCTGAATTCCCATTTCAACTTCCCATCACAACACAGTTTGTCGTTTGAAGAAGACTTTTTAAAATCTGTTTTCAGTTGTGAAGGCTTTAGGCTTGATATCACATTATTTAAAAAAGCTAGCAAAGTAATACAGATTTAAATGTAATTTACACTCACCGGCCACTTTATTAGGTACACCTGTCCAACTGCTCGTTAACACTTAATTTCTAAGCAGCCAATCACATGGCGGCAACTCAGTGCATTTAGGCATGTAGACATGGTCAAGACAATCTCCTGCAGTTCAAACCGAGCATCAGTATGGGGAAGAAAGGTGATTTGAGTGACTTTGAACGTGGCATGATTGTTGGTGCCAGAAGGGCTGTTCTGAGTATTTCAGAAACTGCTGATCTACTGGGATTTTCACGCACAACCATCTCTAGGGTTTACAGAGAATGGTCCGAAAAAGAAAAAACATCCAGTGAGCGGCAGTTCTGTGGGCGGAAATGCCTTGTTGATGCCAGAGGTCAGAGGAGAATGGCCAGACTGGTTCGAGCTGATAGAAGGGCAACAGTGACTCAAATAACCACCCGTTACAACCAAGGTGGGCAGAAGAGCATCTCTGAACGCACAGTACGTGGAACTTTGAGGCAGATGGGCTACAGCAGCAGAAGACCACACCGGGTGCCACTCCTTTCAGCTAAGAACAGGAAACTGAGGCTACAATTTGCACAAGCTCATCGAAATTGGACAATAGAAGATTGGAAAAACGTTGCCTGGTCTGATGAGTCTCGATTTCTGCTGCGACATTTGGATGGTAGGGTCAGAATTTGGCGTCTACAACATGAAAGCATGGATCCATCCTGCCTTGTATCAATGGTTCAGGCTGGTGGTGGTGGTGTCATGGTGTGGGGAATATTTTCTTGGCACTCTTTGGGCCCCTTGGTACCAATTGAGCATCGTTGCAACGCCACAGCCTACCTGAGTATTGTTGCTGACCATGTCCATCCCTTTATGACCACAATGTACCCAACTTCTGATGGCTACTTTCAGCAGGATAATGCGCCATGTCATAAAGCTTGAATCATCTCAGACTGGTTTCTTGAACATGACAATGAGTTCACTGTACTCAAATGGCCTCCACAGTCACCAGATCTCAATCCAATAGAGCATCTTTGGGATGTGGTGGAAAGGGAGATTCGCATCATGGATGTGCAGCCGACAAATCTGCGGCAACTGTGTGATGCCATCATGTCAATATGGACCAAACTCCCTGAGGAATGCTTCCAGCACCTTGTTGAATCTATGCCACGAAGAATTGAGGCAGTTCTGAAGGCAAAAGGGGGTCCAACCCGTTACTAGCATGGGGTACCTAATAAAGTGGCCGGTGAGTGTATATTATTAATAAAAAATAAGCAGCAAAAAGAAAGAAATTATAGGTCCATGTAAAGTAAACTGGATTGGATCTCTGATATCCGTACCCGCATGACTGAGCTCCTCACCCTAGCTCTGAGGGAGAGCCCAGATACACTACGGAGAAAAATCATTTCAGCCACTTGTATCCGGGATCTTGTTCTTTCGGTCATGACCCAAAGCTCATGACCATAGATGAGAGTAGGAATGTAGATCGACTGGTAAATCGAGAACTTTGCTTTTTGGCTCAGCTCTTTCTTCACCACAACAGACTGGTACAGTGCCCGCTTCACATCAGACGCCGCACCAATCCGCCTATCGATCTCCTGCACCATCTTCCCCTAATTCGTGAACAAGACCCCAAGATACTTAAACTCTTCCACTAAGGGCAGTACATCCTCCCCAACCCAGATAAGGCACTCTACCCTTTTCCAGCTCAAGACCATGGATGGATTTGGAGGCACTGATCCTCATCCCTGCTACTTCACATTCGGCCGGGAACCGCTCCAGTGAGAGCTGTAGTTCACTCCCTGATGAAGCCAATAGAACCACATCATCTGCGAATAACAGAGGTGCAATCCTAAAGCCACCAAAACAGATCCCCTCAACACCTTGGCTGCGCCTAGAAATTCTGTCCATAAAAGTTATGAACAGAATCGCTGACAAAGGGCAACCTTGGCGGATTCCAACCCTGACCGGAAACGAGTCCAACTTACTGCTGGCAATGCGGACCAAGCTCTGACACCGGTCATACAGAGACCTAAAAGCCATCATTAAGGGGTCCGGTACTCGATACTCCCTGAGTACCCCCCACAGGACCCCCTGAGGGACACTGTCAAATGCCTTCTCTAGATCCACAAAACACATGTAGATTGGTTGGGCAAACTCTCTTGCACCCTCAAGGATCAGGCTGAGGGTGTAGAGCTGATCCAGTGTTCCATGGCCAGGATTAAAACCACACTGCTCCTCCTGAATTCCGAGATTCAATCACCCGATGGACCCTGCTTTTCAGAAGCCCGGAATAGACCTTACCAGGGAGGCTTAAGAGTGTGATTCCTCTGTAGTTGGAACACCCCAATCTGCAAATCCAGGGGAACTGCCCCTGATGTCCACACAATATTGCAGAGCCACGTTAACCAGCACAGCCCCACAACATCCAGAGTCTTAAGGTACTCAGGGCAAATCTCCGCTACCCCTGGGGCCTTACCACCGAGGAGCATTTTAACCACCCTAGTGACTTCAGCACCAGAGATGAGAGATCCCAACCTGGAGCCCCCAGGCTCTGCTTCCTCAATAGAAGACATATTGGTGGGATTAAGGAGGTCTTAGAAGTGCTCCGCCCACCGATATATACAACGTCCTGAGTCGAGGTCAGCAGCACACCACCCCCACTCTAAATAGTGTTGGTAATGCACTGCTTCCCCCTCCTAAGATGCCGGATTATGGACCAGAATCGCTTTGAAGCCGTAGGGAAGTCTTTCTCCATGACCTCTCCGAACTCTTCCCACACCCGAGTTGTTGCCTCAGCAACCAGCCGAGCCACCTGCCGTTTTGACTGATGGTACATATCAGCTGCTTCTGGATTCCCACAATCAATAAAATCGATAGGACTCCTTGTTCAACTTGACAGCTTCCCTCACCGTCGGTGCCCACCAGCGTGTTTGAGGGTTGCCGCCGCAACATGCACCGACAACCTTGCGGCCACAGCTCCGACTAGCCGCCTCAACAATAGAGGCACAGAACATGGTCCACTCAGACTCAATGTCTGGGAGTTAAAGCTACGTCTCACAGGGGACTTTGCCAGACGTTCCCAGAAAACCCTCACAATATGTTTTGGCCTACTAGGTCTAACTGGCGTCCTCCCCCACCACCGGAGCCAACTCACCACCAGGTAGTGGTCGGTGGAGAGCTCCGCCCCTCTCTCCACCTGGGTGTCCAAGCTGCGGGTCAGATGAAACAACAACAAAGTGGATGATTGAACTACGGCCTAGGGTGTCCTGGTGCTAAGGGCACATATGGATTCCCTTATGCTTGAACCCTTATGCTCTGATATCCAATATCAAACTGCTGATATTCGATAGCCAGTGAATGCTGTGTAATTCAGTTGGTAGTTTCTGTTTTAAGAATTCTTCACAAATCAACATTGCTTAGTTGAGGTCTTGAGTTCTATGATAATTTTTTTGGTCACATCCTATTTGTGCCTGTCTGGTTGCACCTAGACATATTAAATGCACACACGCAAACTGAGTTTGTCTCAGCTATGCTAATTCTTGCAGCCTTACAGCAGCAACATTTTTGCAATATTTTAAAATAGGTCAATGTTCTCTATATGGCCTTATTAGGATTTCTAATTTCAATGGCAGGAAATATGCCTTTCTAGGTTTCTTATTTACTCCAGTTGCCTTGATAAATTGCGTCTCGCTTCCATTGATAAAGTCTTCCTAACTATCAGGGTTAACTTGATTCAGAGTTACGTTACCTAACTGAACCAATCTCTTCTGAAATCACAAATTTAGGTTATGCCAGAACTATGTAGGTCTACTTTCCATCAAGACTACTGTATGTTATCCCTTCTTTGTGAAATGCACCTAGTACTCTGTACACACAACCACACACACACACACAAACACACTATAGTACAGACCGCTATGAGGAATGGAAAGGACAAGTTGTGAACAATTGGATGGCATTCCTTTCAGTGTAATTATGTAACAGAATTTGGGTTTAAGTATATTCTTATTGATGACTGAGCCAGACTTCAGTATCAAACATTATGGGATGGCAGAGCAACAGTTAACCCTTTATTATTGCACCTTTAGAAGCAGGGATATTAAAACTCCACAGAAATGTGCATAGGAAGACACCGACCAGTAAACCAGTCATATCCAAACTGAAGTTTCAGTTTTAATTGACTTTGAATTGGTCTAGGGTTTAAATGTAAATTTTCCCTCCAAATGAGAAAGTATGAATAAATAAAGTTTGTTGTTTCATATTTTTAAATGAGGTTTTTTTATACTGTACAATATATACACTAACTATGTACCTGTTTGTACTTGCTGTATTATGAATCCTTAATAATTAGGCTTGGTTTTATCACTGTGTGTCCAAATAATAATACGTTTGCTATCTATATCCAATGTCAGTGATGTGACACTAGTTTTGTTATCAGGATTTCAAATACCTACAGCAAAGTGATATTTTTTTAAATGGAAAAGCGGTCTTCTGCATGTTTTATGTCCTTGAGGTATTTGTGCTAAAGCGGAGGAGAATATCTTGTATTTCATGCTCCTGTGAATATTGGCTGAAAAAGTCCCTGATGAAGTTGGGCATCTAGATGATAGGCAGCTTTGAGGTGCATTTCTATCTGTTTATTAGCTGACTTTTATATTTTAACAAGATTAGAAAATCTATGCTTTAACAAACCAGGACTGGTTTGTTAAAGCTATGATATATTAGTCCTTAAATCCCTGTCCCTTGAGCCAGGGAAGGGAGTTAAGGACCAGAGTGATATTCCCTATATCTGGTATATGGGTGGTAGGAAATAGGAGTGGCCCAACAATGGAGCTTTGTGGAGCAACAGATTTAATTCAATTTAATAAATAGGTTTAATGTAATTACGGTCCAGGTCATCCAGTCGGTATGTTTTAATATCCAATCTCTCAAATAATGTATTCAGGCTCTTTGGATATATGTGAATTCCAACCTCTAGCACTACTGTATCAACTAAGTACAGGTAACAACTAAAATTTTATAAGACCTACATTAATAAAATGATGAATAATGCACTTTAAATCCTTGTTTCTTCTTTACATTGATATTTAATGCAAATAGTTTAAAGACAAAGAGTGGCTCCTTGAGTGGTAGAAGGTAATGGTAACATTTTTGTTTTGCTTTTCCATTCTGTCTGATGTTTGTCACTTCAAGTCTCAGCTTTCATTTTCTTTACTTTCATTTCCCCCTTTAATTTGCCAGCTGAAGTAAAAATTATGCTTGGGCAGACGTGTGAAGTCAAAACCGACCTGTAGGCACCTTTATTCTGGGCTCTATCATGCATTTTAGTGATAAGGTTAACATTAGATCTGGAGAACTCCAATTTTCATTGCTAAAATATATAGGTTTTTCACAGTAATATAAAACAAATCAGGGTAACGCAACATTTATGCCTCTTAAGGTTTTTAGGACTCTAATTTTTATTTCATACTTATCCAAAGCATAGATATCACTGAAATGCGACTTAGTTTGGCATCACAGTTTCTGGTTTCTGGTTCTGATTTCCCGTCGTAGATATGGAGGCAAACAGTGTGGTGGGTCTGGTTGCTAAACACTTTCATGGAAGGATTGCTTTTATTTTTATTCAAAATATGCCCAGATGGGTTCCCAGTATGGGAGTGCAGCGTGTGTAGGCCCCCAGCACTCCAAAAGACAAACTTTCCTTTTTTCTCTGTCTCAGTTTGTTTCGATTGTTTTTCTCATCCTAAACTTTTACTGTCCTTCTTTCACTTTTTAACATTTTCACAGCCACTCTGTCATTTTATCTCTTTGTCTTTTCTCCTTTTTATCTCCTGCCCTGTTGTTAACATCCTCAGCTGTGCTAAGACCCCTGCATGAGGCTAACGCTCATAGTGGATTGGCTGTAGCTGCGTGCATGAGGAGCACTGGGGGCCCAATCAAACGCAGGCAGGAACAGGAAATGGAACAGGACGCGGGACGCGCCCATCCACAGGGGCCTCGCAGGTACCATAACTGTCCTTTACCCGCCCATACACTATATGTGTCAGCAGAGGTGCCTGCTTAAAAATCCCAGTGTCTTTAGCTGAAACTGTGCTTAGAACCTCTGCAAAACTCCTCTGTGTATCTGAACCTGGTGTTGGTTGTTCTTTATTACTTCTGGCTGGTTCATGTTTTTGTGACCCCCCCCATTTTCTCCATTTGCTTCTGTGTTTAAATGTTGTACTTTATAGAGGGACATTTTCCCTTTTTGTATTTGTTGCAATGCAGTAAAAGCTTTGCTGCTTTGCTGTGCTTTTCCATTGGGAATAAAAGCGAGAGTCTGTGTTGCTCTCTGTGTCTCTGTGCTTCACTGCTTCATCTGCATTGTTGTTCCTGTTGGCTTCCAGGGCTTCCCTCTGCTCTTTAAGTGCAGCTAACCTGCCTTCTCAACTGTAAAGCTGCAGTCTGTCACTTTGTTTCTGTCCTCTTTGACTGCAGTCAAAGATCCTGTGGTGCAGTTTGTTTTCTTGCTCTAAGTTACGACTGAGTGTTTTTCACTAATTAAATCTGATCCAATCCTGATATGGTAGTTTGAAAAGTAATCAGATTGGATTTACAGTAGGTATATCAATTGATTATGTATTAAATTAAATGGATTCAAAGTCATGATTATATTTACTAGACACAGATAGCCATGCAAGCATTTTATAGTTTTGACATATGCCTGCTGTTTTGATCATTTAAATCCAACGATTTTTTTTACATTTCTTGAAGTTATATTTATTCATATACCATTAAATAAAACCTTAGGTACCCATTATTCAACAAAAGAAAAAACAAACAAACATAGTGGTCAAGAAATAACTTATATCCAACAAAAGTTATAATAGATAAATGTCTATGAAAATGAACAAATTAAAGTCAGACAGTGGTTTTATCCATGCTTCAACAGAATTACTTAAAGAAACTGACCTGGACAAAAATGATGGTACCTCTAGAAAAGACAGAAAATAATGTAACTGAAAGAACCTGATAAATTAAGGTGTATCCACTAATTAGCATCACAGCTGTCTACAATCTTGTAGTCAGTCAATGGGCCTATATAAAGAGCTACAGGTAGTCGCTGTGCTGTTTGGGGACCAGAGAATGCAAAGAGTTGTCTGAAAAGGTTAGAAAGAAAATTATAGACCAGTATGTTAAAGATAAAGGCTAAAATACCATATCCAAACAACTTTACGTTCCTATTACTACAGCTTCACATATAAATCAGAAATGATGCAGATGTTTTAAGGAGAAAATTGATGACCAATGTAAGAGATGGATGATATAAATGGTAACAATGAGCATTAGTGTCAGATCACATCATCCATTGATGTTGAACCTATGTGGACTTAATGGTAGATGACCAAGGAAGACAGTGTTAGTGAAAACGATTAAAAAGCTAGATTGAAATTGGACAAACTCTATGTTGGCAAGCCACAAAGTTAGAGGGACAATGTCCTACAGACAAATCAGACAAAATTCATCTTTTTGCCAAGGTACAGAAGCTCTGTGTTCACTGATGGAAAAATGAAGCATATCAAGAAAAGAACACTGTCCCTACGGTGAAACATGGAAGATGCTCTATTGTGATCTGGGGCAGCTTTGCTTCATTTGGAAACGGTTGTCTTGTATTTCTCGAGGGTACAATTCCATCTGGAGAATATCAAGATATTCTAGAGAGAAATCTGCTGCCCAGTTTTATTGGTCTTATCAACAGGATAATGACCCAGAACACAGTTAAAACAGCCAAGAATGGCTAAGAGGAAAACATTGGATTATTCTGAAGCTCTCACTTAAAAAAAGAGTCTTTGAAAGGAGCTGAAACATGTCTGGAAAAGGTATCCTTCAAATCTGAGACAATGGGAGCAGGTTGCTTTTAAGGAGTGGGCCAAAATAACTGCTGCGAGGAGCAGAAGTCTCATTAACAGTTATAGAAATCATTTGATTACAGAGATTGCCTCAAAAGGATTTGGAGCAAAATATTAAGTCAAGGGTATCATCATTTTTGTCCAGGACTGATTCATAAGTTAAAAAGAATCATTTTGTTGAAGCATGGTGGAAAAGCAAAGTCTGACTTTCATTTGTTCATTTAATAGAATTTGAATGTATTAAGCCCGGCGTACACTGTGCGATTTTCGGGGCGATTTTCCAGTCAGCCTGATTGTGCATTGTGAGTCGTGTAGTGTACAGGGGATTACGAGCGGCGATCAGCCTCTCCCAACCACCTCCCGATCAGAAATCGCGACAATCGCGACTATCATGGGCAAATTGCTCAGGGCGCATGCGCAAACAAGGATTGTTCTTTTTATTCTTCCTCTCAGATGTAAACACAGCAGCATGACAGGGATGCAATGACTGAAATGCAGCTCCGTCGGAAAAATCTTTTTTCTCACACTGTACGACTAAACGCAGGGTTTAGTCGTATAGTGTGAGCAGCAAGTGTGTGCAACGATAAAAAAAAAAATTGCACAGTGTACGCCCGGCTTTATTACTTTTGTCAGATTCAAGTTATTTTTGTGAGAATTGTGGGTTTTTCTTTTATCAAATGAAGGCTACCAACAACTTTGTTCCCATGTGTTTCTCTTCAGGTCATCTTTAGATTGTTCAAACATTTTCTTTAGATGTTGGCTTCTTTTCTTCATCAGCCACAAGTAGTTCATGTTACCTGGACCATAGTTGATTTCCCCTTTGGTCAGGACCAAACAACCAGACCAGTGTTGGTTCTGAAATGTGCAAATTGTAGCTCCTACTTCGTGTTCCTAGCGCCTCTTCCTTCACCTTTTATTTGATAACAAAAATAACATTTCAGACTGCTGTGCTGAATCTGTGCATCTCTCAGCCTTAACATATGGATGATGTAATTCAATAACAGTACCACAGCCTTCCAAAAAGGAACAACAAAAAATTGACAAATCTAGCATGCAAAGAACTTGCAAAGAAATTACGTTATTTAGTTCAGCTCTGCGAGGTGGGCTGTGCTTATAAGTTATGTCTCCCAAAGGATTCTGGGTGATGTTATAGCTCCTAAGCATTGGACGGGAATGTTGGGAGTTTCCTATGCTAAATGAACTATAAATAGGAAGCTTCCTCTGCCTACCTTCCTTCTTACTGCCAGCACTACTGTGATAGCACTTATCATCTGAACTACTGACACACTGTCGTTCAAGTGTCCTTACAGATTTGTCTGACTTGGATATATGTGAGGCCACTTTTTGAGGTGGTCTTGGTTCACTTCCAAATGGATTTTGGTGTGTATTACCTCAGGGATGGATACAAACCAACCTCGGTCCAGCCCCAATGCAGCAAGCATACACCGCCGTGGACTTAGCAAGCAACTGTAGCAGTAAATGTAGTATTGAAATAGTACCTTCCCCACTGTCTGTCGCTTAGCAACACTGCTCCCAGCAAGCAGTCAATCTCCCTCGGCTTAAAGGATGCATTCCCCGGCACCATCACAAAATTTATACTGAAAGTTTCAAAATCTACTTTCAATGAGCGGTTTTTCACCCTCTTCAATGATTTTGCAGCTGTAATAAGAGCATGGGTTTATAGATCACTTAGAGGGAACTATAATTTGATGGAAAATCGGACCAACCAAAAACATACGTCTGTTTATTCTCTGGACAAAGCAAGGAGACCAATAAAATTTTCTGGTGTAAATACACCCAGAGTAATGTTACAGTATGTAGTTATTTTTTTTTATTTTTTTAAGACACCAAATTTGTCAATATTTATTGAAACAATGACTGCAAATGTTTATTTTATCCTAGGAATAATGTAATATATGGGGGATATAATCATTTTTTTTCTTTGCCTTCGGGTTTTGAGCAGTTATTGTTTATCATAGTAGCAGATGGAAATTATTTTGTTAGCGATTAGCCTTATTAAAGTTGCTACCTCTACAGAAAGAGTAATCATCTGTATCTTATAGAAGATAGAGCCTTACGTTAATTTTGAATTTCTCAAACATTGTGAAAATTTCCAATTCAGGCACCTTCCAGTACAAAGATTAAAGGTTCAAAATGAAAAATCAGTAGATACTGATACTCCTTTTAGCCTTCCTGTTATGTGCTGAAAATGTTGCTCTCTCTTGCTCTTTCTCTTGCTCATAAATTGGTAGCATTTAGTAGTAGATTTTGATTTTGAAAAGGTCAGAGTGATTGTTGAAGGTTAGTCAAGCACAAATGGTTCCGTGCATTTTTGATAGAAGATACTTGAAGATGTGTCACATTATACATGATAAAACAAAAAAAGTACCCAAAAAGGTGTTTGGAATATTTGGGAGTTCTTCTTAACTGTGTTGTCAAAACGTCCTATAGAGTTCCTGGTTCTTTGCTAAGACTCAAGCTATGGATAAGTATGATTTAAATGTTAGGAGACATGTCAGGTCATCATATCTATTTCATCATCATTTGTTTAATTTGTTTAATCTTCATTTTTTATTTTATTTTTTTAAATTGATAAACCCTACAATACATTGTCATGGACAGGTAGGATAACCAGGTCCAAAATGTACAAAAAACAAACAAAAAAACAGCCAAAGTCTATTAAATATCTCTACAGCAACTGTTATTAAGACAAATGTATGTGTGTTTTGAAGGGATATTAAGGAGATTTGTTGCTCGGAAGATTATGTTGCAAAGATTTTTCTGTACCCCATAACTAAGATAAGTTTAATCTCAGATACATTGATAATATTTTAGGTGATAGTGTTGGTCATTTTGATTTAGAAAAATCTGTAAACCTTTACATCTGAGTGTGTATGCGCTGACATTAAACTTTGCCTCTACTTTCTTGTTTAGGCGCTATTTTGAAGCTAATTGAACCATGGTGCAGTGCTACAATAATAGTTTCCCTAAGGGTGGTCATGAAAATGTATAAGGCATCTCCCTTTGCCCTGAGCCAAATTAACTTTCTGTAATCACATAGGTGGAAATAAAGTCTGGATGTGCTAACTTGTTAATATTGATTTTAGTCTGCATTTCATTACAGCTCTGTTTAAACCGAAGAGAAACTTTCAAAAAAAAAAAAAAAGCGAAGATGTCTGTTACCGATGGAACTGGAGGAAAAGGAGTAGGTGGAAGTAAAGCTCTCAGCACTCAGCCTTTTTTATTACCTTCCTCCTCTCCTCTATTGATCAACATAAGCCTCTGATTTATAGCTTGCTGCTGCTGAGCCTACTTGGTAATTACAAAGGCTTGAAAAGGGAAAGGAGAGCTAATGTGGGGAATGGGGGTGGGCGCTCACACATATGTGGACACAGTAGACACATTTACGGACTTGCTTTTAACACAAACTCTGTGTAAGAAAAGTTTCACTGCAAACAAGATTCACTGATTCAACCTGAAGTCCTGAGTAAAATCATTTACTGGGTCAGAACACGGAGCTAAAACTCTTTCAAAAGTATTTACTTGATCTTCAGTTGCTTTTTAACCCATTTCAGCCCAGCAGCTAGATGACGCTTTCAGAGGAATGTTTTATGTTAGTCATTAAGTCACTTAGTGAGAGGGATCATAAAAATCCAATGATTTGGTGGCATCACTTGGTGGTTTGTTTTCTGAAGAACCGAAGATATAGTCATAGCTGATATGGTTTCACCACAACCACTGTTCAAGCAGTTTCAGCAAAAAAAAAAAGGTTGAGTCGCGAAGGCTGTTTGTCTCAGTTTTAGAGACTGCTTTTTTTATCCGGGAAAAGTTACATCACAGTCACTGACGGTCACTACTTCACCAGTTGGTGCATTGAAGACTCTGCCTTCACACAGCAATCATACAGTTAGTCACCGTAAAGGCTGAGGTCATAGCTGCAGTATGTCAAGGAGCGAAACAGGACTAAGTGCTGAAAAAGAGCCACAACTCTATCATCTATAATCAGAGGTATTGATGGCAGCAGCCCAACTTAATACTGCATTTTTCTCCATGATGGCCACCCACTCAAATAGGATGTCAGATGAAGTTACTATAGGGCAGACAAATTATATAGAAACTATAGTTAGCGGTTGAACTAACAAACTAACACACAGCAGATTGGTACCGATTATCGCTAAAAATCGACCAGTTTTGGAACATTTCCTACCATTGCCTTTTCACCGTATGTCAAATTTCAGAATGAAACCCCTCATTTAGAATAGAGCAGAATAGAATAGAATATAAAATCCCTTTATTGTCCCACAATGGGGAAGTTGTTATGTTACAGCAGTAAATAAGTTACTAATTATTTGTATGTGCAATTCTAGCCTTTAAACACAACTTCAGCAGGCTTTTATAATTATTAAATGACTTTACAAAATAAACACCTTCACATTTGGTTTAGCAGATCATTGCTGCATATATTTTGCAGATATTTTTATATCTAAGGGAAACATATCACAGGACAGTACAACTTTTTTTTCTTTATGTGTTTTGTACTATACACACTCTTTTTATATTGTCTGTCATATTTCTATATTTAATTGCATCTAGATTTAACTCCTCTACAAAAGCTACTGGAGCCAAAATTTTCCTGAAGGAGTAATCGCAAGAGATAAATAAAGCTGAGTCTAAGTCTAAACATATATCTCATTATTACATCTGGAACTAAACATGTGTGGAACATGAACTAATAACTGATGTTTTTTTGAAATAAAAGCATCAATATTTTACATGTACCCTATAACAAAATATGTCCAGTTGGTTTTAATTCTTCTTCTCTTTGTACAGATGTATGTTTGACAAAAATGTCAAGCCTGATGAAATGTTTTAACATGTCTTGATGAACTCTGAATCCCTCATTTCTGGCCAAGCCTTGCTAGCCTTTGATGGATACTACAAGATTGTCTGGCTGCTTGAAAACAATAAATGAAAGATAATCAATACAGTAATATACAGTAGTGTTTCTGTGTCATGACATTTTGAAACAACAGAAGCCTTGTTAATCTTTGTGTTGATATATGTACATCCCTGCTTTAAGACCTTTAATGAAATAAGATCCTCTGGTGTTAGGGATGCTCTGATATGTCAGCTTGTGCTTTATAAACAGCATGGCTCATTGCAGAAGGCTGCATCATCACCACGTGTTTGTTCTCTAAGTGTGCGTATGTGCTTGTTTACCGTGCTGCTGTGACCTTCCCTCAATGCAGTAACTCACCTGACGTCAAATCTGCTTAGTTTTTCTGTTGTTGTTGTTTTTTTTTTGGTGCTGGTCGACTGACCCAACCCCTCCTCTGTCTATTATCTACCAGTGAACAACCTGGCTCGGTCCAAGTACTGCTGACGCCCAATCAGGAAGAGGAAGAAGACGAGTCGACGACCAGCCGACACGCTGCTCAGGGTCAAAGCCCACCCCCACCTCCTCCACCTTACCACCCCTCTCTCCCTCGACCAACGCTCACCCTTAGTATTAGTCACCCCTGCAGCCCGTCCAGTCAAAGGGAGGAGGAGGAGAAACGAGATGAGGAGTGTGAGGATGGAAGCGAGGGGATGGGGGTGAGGCTATGTGAGTTACTGCAGGCTGGGGGTGTGAGTGTCAGACCTCTAGGCAAGCACTTGGCCATCTCTCTACCCTCACTTCCTCTTCGTCTCTGGGATACACACACCTCACACTCTGCGCACAACCCGCCACCGCCCTGTTCTCCTCCCCCATCAACCCCTCCAGAATATTACGGGCAAAGGAAACACCTCACGCCGCTCTGGCAGCCGCCACGACCACATTCTCCCGATAATAGGTCTCCCCATTGGCAACAGCACGCAGTCCTTGCAGACGGAAGCACGCGTCACTGGTCCTCTTGGAGTCTGGACCGCCCGGATGCTGTGGTAACGCCATATGACACGCCCCCGGACCGCTGCTTTCCCATCAGACCACAGAATCTTGGTCAGAGCTGCAGCTACAGTTCTCAGTCTTCTCCAGGGCACTACAGCTCCCAGCATACCCCTGGGCAGCAGGGTGATGTCCGCTGTGAACGTGAAGAGACTGAGCTGTCTGAGCTGGACTCCCTTTATCAGGCCAGTCTGCAGGCTGGGAGAACAGGTACAAAAAACACACACACAAATTTCCTAGGATAGACCTAAAATATTTTCATCACTCATTGCTCCATCCTCTTTTTGTAATTTACCGTAAATGCCATTTGGACATCAGACAGCATGATGCTGCCACCACCATGCCTGCAAGTTGGTAGAATCTTCTTAGATCTAAAAGCCCCTTCAGATATGCTTTTTGTTAGAGCGATATGGTCAAACCTTTTATCCCAATGTATATTTTAATCTTGGTCGATATGATGTATTTACAATATTAAGATAAATTAAAAAGTAATTAATGGTTGCCAAGAATGTCAGCAACAGAATTCTGTACAAAGTTACAACAAATATTTTACAAGGTTTATAAAACTCCTGTGAAATATTCCCTTTAAAAATACAAAATGCATCAAAATACATTAAACCTAGAATGTCAGTCAGTGTCAAAAATTGTAATGTACGTTAAAATATCTTTAATGTGTTTTAAAGTCATATTATTAAATAGAATTATATTGCTATTAATATATTTAGAATTAATTATTTTTAAGCCCGGGTTTCTATCCTATGACTGAATAGCTTCATTTTTCTCTTGCCTGACTGTCAGATTTTTCTCCTGAAGGACTTTGCCTCTCCATGTAGACGGCTACAAATCTCAGCTAAGTTTGAAGCTTGTTCTTTTGGATCTAAGGGGTTCTCTCTTGGTCATCACTCTCTCATTTTGCTGTAATCAGTGACTCTGTTGTTCAAGTTTTATACAGTTTATGATGTAGAACTTCAGATAGTTTCTAAACAACCCGTTTATTTTCCTTTTTTGGAGGTAAAGGTCTGGGTTATATGATTCATAGTTCTGCTAGTTTTTGAAAAAAAAAAATAACAAAAGAATGACTCGGACTTGAAGGAATATAAAAGATTTCTGGACAAAAATTATTATAAAAACAAATACTTTACTTAATGACTACGATATCTACCAAGAGAGATAGTCGAATACAGAGCAAGGATTACACAAAGACCTTGCTGATGACAACAGAAAGTCTATAGTATTACTTGCCTGGAGATGTTTTTCTAAATTTGAGCGGGGTTGTAGGTATGTTTGGGGGTTCCTACTTTGTTTTGAAGAATTATTCACAAGAAACATTTATGAAAATTCACCTTAAGGCCCTTACTTTTTTAAATGTTACAAAAGTTGTAAGTTTTAACAACTTAATGTTTCTCCATTAAAAAATAAAAATGCGTCCTTTAGTACTCGAAATTAAAATGACATTGATGGCAATCGACTTTTGCTCGACTTTGTCCTGACTTTGTCCCTCATTACATTTATTACTTTTTTTTTCAAATATCTCTTCCACAGACAGAAAAATATAATGTGGTATATTGAGCTGATGGGCTCTCTGTAGTTTGCCTAACTACTATGGCCTAGTATTGTGCTAGTACAGCCTGCTGAAAGAGCAAGTGACATGGAAATGGAACCAACAGTTAGCGAGGAGTAATGGAATCCTCCACACGACCGGTGCCCCGAGGCACCAGGCCACAAACAGCTTAGCCGAGAGATACGTCTCATCGTTCAAGGCTGGCATGAAAAAGCTGGAGAGAGAAGATTTGAGCATTGAAAACAAAGTCTCTCATTTCCTGCTACGGTATCGCACAACTCCCAACAGGAGTCAGGGCCTGTGTCCTACAAGGTCCGCAGGGAAGTGACAGATCAGTATACTGACCCCACGGAGACCAGCTGAGACCCCGCCATTCTGCGGGGCTTCCAGATCTGCAACATGAGGAAGTAGCTGAGGAGACGGGGCCGATGGAGAGCAGTTTTAGAGCATCCCCAATACCTAAACTGTCAGAGCTAGCTGAGGCGCCTGGTCCTGTTGCGGTGACCCTAAAGTGCTCCCGGTGTACCCCAAAAGTGCCTCCATGTTACCAGGACTGACTGTAGTGATAAGAGACTGAGTGCTGATGTTTAGTTTAAGTTACAGTTTTGCATTCAGTTTATTCAGTTAAGCATTCAGTTAACTTTATTATGCAGTATAGGAAATATTGATATTTATTATCTTAATGCCAAGTAATGATGTATTTTATGTTAAGGTTTTTGGCTAGTAAAGTAATGCTCAAAGTTAACCTTTAAGTAAATGAAGGACATATATTTAATATGATTTGGAATGTCTAAATCTTTCTAAGTTACCTTTAAAGGGGGAGGTGATGTGGTATATGGCTCTCTGTAGTTTTCCTATGTTGTATGTGATATGCCTAGATGGATTCACCAGAACACGAGCCACAGTTGGCGTGTTGTAGTAATGTTTATCAAGTACTTCAGTAAATGTGGTTAAATGCGTGCAAGCGTCTCATCATTAATCCATTACTACAAACCTCCAAATTATTAAATATGTCTTCAAAAAAGCCATATTTTTGACTGGCCACCTTGAACAGAGCGTACCTCAGCACAGCATACCTAGATGGTGGTCATTTTGGTAATGAATGGCTTTGGTAAACTGTGAACTATGCTAAACATATTGGACAAACTTCTTCAAATGTGTGCAAAAAGAATAAGGTGGTGACTCCTGCCCTGAAGGACACAATCTGGCTGTCCAGTCATGCACAGCATACTCATCTGTGAACACATTTCTGAGGGAAACTATTAAAATAATTCCACTTACCTCAAACTTCACCATGAAATATAAAGACCTAAACATGGTCTTTGCTCAGCTTTTATTATTTATCCTTTTAGGAAACCTGCTCCAGCAACACAAAGCTTTTTTCAGTTAAACAATCAGACATTGGTCCATTTCCAACGTGTCTCTGGCCTCTTTTTATGGATGTATGACCAACAGAAGTTTGTATTAGGGAAAATTTCATTGATTGGTATTTTATTAGAATAAAACCTGGATTTTATTACAGTGCTGAATAAACCTAGTGGTTCTTTAGGAGTGAAGGGGTTTTTAAATGGGGTGTATTTGACATCATTAAAGTCACAACAATTCACCCTATTAGAAACATATGTAAAGTGATTCTCAAAGTAACCCGGGAATGGTCCAAAAAACAGAAACACATGCTTTATTGTATATGATTGATGAAGCATAAATTATCTAAAAACATTTAAAAGTGCACCTTAGGAGGGCACCCCTAGGGTCCCTGTCCGCTGGAGTTCCCTGACCAGCCCCAGAGCTCCCGGGTCTGTTCGGTGCCCGGTGTGTTTCGACTACGTGCTGCACTGTAGTCGACCAAAATCATGGACGATTTTGAAATTCCCTACTTTTTAGGTATAAAAAGTAGGACATGTCTGGGAAACAAGGATGTCTGTTCACCCTAGCACCCCTCATATTAGAGGGTCACTAAGTAGACTGGCAAAAAATAGAAGAAATCTGCAGAAAACATGTTCTGATTCTAAACATCTTCATGTTGGAACTTTGAAAAGGATCTGATTTTTTTAGGGGAGCCTGTCTGGGTTTGATGCGGTGTCTGATCAGAAAGCTCTGTGTACAGGAAACTGGCACTAGTTCCTGATCACAGCAACCATCCAATATCAGTTCAGAGAATAAACTGTTAAAAATACATCTGGGTTTGTCATGTGTGATCTGTGCCGACCTGAAAGATGGAAAGAAGGATTAATAATTTTCAACCAGTTTCCATCTATTTTTATTCCGAATGACGTCTTCAGTAGAGTCTACTCGTGTGATTTAAATATATCACCAATAAAAAGAGTATAAATCCAAAATTCTAAAAGGAATGTTAGGAATGAGTCTGCCAAAAAAGGTTTGGTACATCTTATAAAGGTAATATTCGGATACTACATAACAGACACATGTCCGTCTACCTTATCAGGTGCAAACCTAAGCAGAGGACTGACAACTGCCTCTTTTTGCTCTTTTGATTCAGCCTTTGAAACGCTTTGGGTCTCATGATTTTCCCTCATCTGCATCCTTACAGGCTGCAGCCCATCTGAGAGGCTGATATCCAGGATGGGAGTTCAGACGCGCTCCAAGACCCCCAGCGCAGACATGGAGAGGAGCGCGTATGGGGCACACAGCACCAGCAGCCCCACCTACCTCAACAAGGCAACACCTGCTTAATGATCTCTGCACATTGACGTCACACCTTCACAGGTCATCAGTTGGATCCATTTTCAGGGATGATAAAGGACTTTCTTTTTCTCTCTGTCTATTTTCAGCCAGTGACGCTGCGGGTGGAGCCTGATGATGGGGAGAACCAGAGGCGAATTGGACGCAGCCTGAGCGGCACGGTGGTGACCTCCCGCCGCAGCCGCCTCACTGCAACCCGCAGCTTTGTAAGTAGGATTATAGGTGCTCTGCTGTCTCCCTGTGGCCTTAATCTGAAATGCATCTGCTTAATGTCCCTCGGTCACGTTTCATGCATTGCTTGTCCCTGTGCTCTTCTACCTCCTGCTGTTTGTCTCATTTCTTCCTATTCTTCTGTTTCCAATCTGTCCCCCTGCTCTCTGCTTCTCTCTCTGTCTCTCTCTAAGGTGAAGCAGGCTGATGTCAGTGCCTCTCCTTGCTTACTTCCTCTCTTCTGAGTCCCTGTTGCTATTCCACCACCATCACTTCCTCCATCCTCATAATCAACACCTCCTCATCACCACTTCCCTTCACTGCTTTACAGGTAAACACTGCTTCTTCAGAGCAAACTAATGCTGCCGTGCATCTCCAGTTAACCTAGAGGGGGGCTGGAGCTGCTAATTTGTGAGCCAGATAAATTGAAAGTGAGAGACATGAACAAATTATGTGATAATGATTAAATAGGAGACGTGTTAAATCTCAGATTGAATTTCTTTAATGGTGCAGATGCTAGACTAACATGACACTGAAGCAGCAAACCTTTAATTTACACGTACTGTAAACTGCATTGTTGGAATAAACTCAGATTTCGTAGAGATTTTTTATTTTTTTTTTAAAGGTATAAGGAGTTATAAATGGTTATTTCCTGTTTCAAGAGGATCATAAAAAGAGAATAAAAAAGCTGTTTATTTCAACTTGTCACTTTAGACGAATATTGTTGAAAAGTTAAGTGGTTTCAGTAAATCTATGTAAAAAGCTAAACTCCTTTATTGTAGAATTTTTCACATAACCAGTGAAATATAAGATTTTTTTCATTTATTATGGTTTAAATGGCTTACAATTGAGAACCTCTAATATTAATACACAAGACCAGCAGAACAAATTGTTTTTAAAGAAATATTGATTATTGCATACATAATAATAAAAGGAGAACTGCTGATTGAAAAGGTTTAACACAATCAGGGTGACCCAGTAAGGTCATTGTTAAAGATGCTGCCATAATAATTGATACCATTATTTGTGTTTTTACATTTCACTTAAACTACCTTTAAATAGGATTTTTTTTACGTTTCAAAATTAATACCTTCTAGTAATTAAATGTGAAGTTGAAGGCAAATGATAGATGGTTAGAAAAGCTTTTTACAGATAATCTGAAGTGTGGCGAGCTTTAGAGAACAAACAGCATCATAAGGCAGATGAAACAAAGCAGACAAATCAGCTTCAAACATTATAGATTCCCATGGAAAGGGACATTTTTGAGTTTAGGGTAAACCAAGAGACAGAACTCATGTGGGAAAAGATGCTTCGGTCTGATAAAAAACAAAATTCAACATTCAACCTGCAAAATGCTGAATGTATTGAGAAGCAAACAGAAAATATGACCATAAGCAATAAGATAACATGGTGGTGGAGGTATTATGCTGTGTGGATGCTTTTCTTCTGCAGGGATGCTTTTGAGCATTAATGGGAAGCTGAATGGAGCTAAATGCGGACAAACCTTCCAGCAGGTCAACCACCCCAAACTGTTTGGATAAAAGCCTATCCTAACAAATGGCACAATTAAACTATTTACCTGAATCAGTTTAAGGATCCAAAAATTCCTACTTATTGCTTCTCTCATTTCGAAAGATCTACACAGCCAGCGGAGACAAAACTCAAATAACTTGCAGCTTAATGACGCTATCTATTTCACTTCACAATTATGCTCTCCTTTGGTCTCTTATATAAAATCCATGAAATATAACTTTATCAACAGAATCTAAAAAATATTACATCTACAGAGGACTGTTTATATCCCTGTTCCTCTGACCTGTTGTTTATCTCTTCTGTCCAGGAGCTGTCGGGTGGTGCTGGAAGTTTCTGGCTGTGTCTGACAGGAGTCAAGCTGTCCTCGGACCAGAGCCCTGCTCTGTTTCACTGATATCCCACCCCTGCCCTCCTCTGTAACCTCCCCACGGGACGGCGGTGCTGCGGTCCCGGGCTGTGTCACCTCGAGGGACCCAGGAACCAGTCAAGGTCTCTTCTTGACAGCCATCCTGCTCCAGCACCTTCTCCTTCAAAATCTTGTACACAAACACATGCACGCACATATCTGCACTGACGTCGAGCCTCCGTCCGCGCCTGAAGCACCCTGCTTTAGCCCCTACTTGCCTTCCCTTCCTACTTATTCTGTCTATGCAGTCACTCTGACCCCTTAAACTATAACCTCCCTTTCTTTCCTGGGACTGTTTCTCGTCTCCCTTTGGGTTTTTTGGGAGGATTCCCTGTGCAGGCGGCCGGATCCATATGGGACTGGAGCTGTCTGCATACTTGTCCCCCACCCCAACAGGACCGTCAGCTCGACGGGAGACTATAACCAAGTAGCTACTTCCTCTTTCTTCATGGGCATTTTCCCGTTGGACGCACATGTAGCTGAACTGACAGCCATATTTTTCTCTCTTTTTCTTTCCTTTAGTTTGTTCTTTCTGTTTTCCTTCCTGGAACTGAACTCTGACAACTAAGCGTGTACAGAAAAACATGTATGAAACCTGTATGTTAATTAATAAGACCTTATGGAATGTTGATAATTAACAAGTATTGATAAACTAAAAGTGGTACTTCCTTATGTCCGCATTTCAAATAGCAGTGGAGTGCACTTCACAAGTGTCTAGCTGGAGTTTCCGCCCCAAATACCCCTCTATCCCCACCCCTAAAAAAAAAAAACAACTGCTTGCTGACCTAATGACAGCTCTCCCGCTTCTACTGGGAGATTTAACGAGAAAAGCGCTTCCTGTTACTTTTTTCCTTTCTTTTACTTGCTTTTCTTTGTTCTGAAAGGGAAGCATAAGCATCACAACCAGGTCAGCAGGAAGAGGGTCTAGAAGTAAAAGAGAGGGAGGAATTTAGGTTAGGAAACCCGCCTCCTACGGGCTACTTTATCAATGAACACGGATGACTCAAGTGCACTTTGAAAGGAAAAAGTGCACTTTTTAGGGAAGGTTTTTGAGTGAGAGAGGTCCTTTTGGTTTTGTTTTACTCCAAGGCCTCAGGTGAATTTCAGTGGCACTTATAAATTCCCACTTTTATGATATGTGACGCTGGTTCGGAGACCCAGATGGGAGCAAAAACGGCACATCTTCAGCCTGATACAGTTATGTGTCTAACAAAAATATGCTTTATATGATGTATTAGAGGTATATTTTCAGCCAGTGAGCTATCTTAAGAGATGTCAAGCATTACTCTGTGGTGTAAACATGAAATCATTCCCATCAAAAAATGAGCTGTATATACATATCTCTATATATAGATAAATATATATATATATATATAGATATGATGTATGAGGAAACCCTTATAAATCACAAATCAATTGAGCGGTGTAAAGTTTTGCAAGGATTTACTAATGTTGACTGATCGTTGTAACAAAAAACCAAAGGTTGGCACTTAGCTTGTTATTCTCTTTGTTCATTTAGGTTGTTGTTGATTGTTTGCTGTCTCTTTTTCTTTTGGTTGTGGATGTGGGAGAATGTAGCCAATTGTAGCGCATGAGTCCGCTATGCAACTAAACCTTCCCTCGTAGTCCTGTGACAGAGACGGCGAGGAGCCAGGGCGCTCACATGGACGGGGACGATGAGGAGAACTCATGTTTTAATGCTGCTGGTGACCTTTGTTGTTTTGCGTCAAATTGCTACATTTTAGCTGATGGAAGCAAAAAAATAAAAACAACAACACAATGAAGAGGCAGAGAAGATGAGAGGGAATGAATGTAAAGTGAAGAGTGTGACGGTGAATGATGGGTAGGAGACGGGAGAGGGTGGACAGTACCTGGAGATGGCTTTTTAAGAGGGCGTGTGTAGACTGACTGTGTCAATTTCGGGTCTAGTGTTGCTTGGAGAGAAGGATCCTGTATTTTTGCAATAAAGTAATATTCAACGTACTCCTGCAGGGGGTTTAACCACCATAACGTGTCGTTTTTGTCTGTTTCTTTGGGAGATTAAACGGGTGCAATTCCAAAAATTCAACTATCTTAAAAAAGTTTTTTATTTTACTTGATAACCAAGGTAAATCATATACAGTCATTATTGGCAAACTGAGACAGTAATACATCATTTCAAATCTTTTTACACATATGAGAAGCCTTTTTATCAAATACATTTGAATGAAATATACATGCAAATTATTGTTTTGCATCCGTCTCAAACTAGTGTATGTTGTAAGTTGCATATCACACACACACACACCAAGAAGCAGAATAGGGAACATTTCGCTGTTCCATCCAAATGTCAAAGTCATGCCTTATTGGCTTAATTTACAGTCTACATATTGTGTTTGAACCCGTATATTTCAGGTATAACAGAACAATTAATAATGAGCAAATCATACAAAAAACAATTCCTATACCTCAAGCTTTGTTTTCCTCCATGCGCAGCACTAAATATACCCCCCCCTTTTTTTTTTCCCCCCCTTATATACTAAACCCACACCTGCTTAGGCTTCAACTGCCTGCTTAAAGTTCAAGATTGCAGTTTTTTATTTTGTCCCTCAGATCACAGCACATTCCTAAACAACCGTAATCTATCTCTAAGAATTGAAAGCTATATGAATTGCATGTGTTTTTATATATATATATATATATATATACACATACACAATCTGGATTGATTTTTGCATTCTTTTTGCCTTAGAGGCCAAAGCTTTGATATGCAAAATGCTTCACAACTGTCAGAAAACAGCTGGATTTACATCAGTTTGTTAAATTACTAACTTCTATCAGGAATTTTGTGGCTATTTGTAGCGGGGAGAAAAAAATCAAAGAAACCCAAACATACTCGTTCACAAATACATCACAACTTGGAATCAGCTGATCACGTGTCTCACTGTGTTGATATTAAACCAGGTAAGCTCAGCAAGCTCTAACCTCCATGGGGAGAATTTTGATTCCAGGAGGTGTTCATGTCGTTTAAATGGGAAAAAACAAACGTCAGTATCCAAAGGAAATTGTACTGTTTATCTGTTGATATAACCTCTGTTTGACTGTTTTTGTGTAAATATGTAATATAATATCTATCTCTATCTCTCTCTCTCTCTCTCTGGGAAAGGAAAGGGCTTATATGATGATATATATCAGACTGGGAGGACATATCTTTTTCAAAGGCTTCCCCAGATCTTTTGTGTGCAGTACTGGTCAGGCCAGTTTAAAACTTTATGAAGTTCCCTAAAATTATCTACATCAATAGAAATACTTATGTGTGCATTTACCTGATTAAACACAGATCTAACATGTTTCTTTTGAAAAAAGCAACAGAAGAAGAAAACTTTTTTTGCAACCTTATGATATTGGTAGTTTATAAAGATTTTTTTTACTTTAGTCTGATCCTCTTTTCAGGAGCAGTAACTAGCAATAAATGTATGTATTCTGCTTTTTATCAACGGGAGACTGTTGAAAAATTAGGAAGTTTTCTTAAAGCCTGATTATATCCAGAAGAATTAACAAAAGTACCTCTTTTTGTTAGGGAAACCATGGAAACACCACACAGAAGGGAGGTTTTAACCAGAAATATTTGCACTGTGAGGTGCCAGAGCAAACCAAACTGTTGGAACTGACTTTAAGATGCCAAATAAAATCTGTTTGATAATTCAGTCATAGTTACTTTTACTGTGGCTGTTCGTCATTTTTTTTTAGCACCCTCTAAAGTAAGCTTCACTCTGATTATGAAATTTCTGCAACCTTGAATTGATAAGAAAAAAGCCATTATGTAAAAACCCAATAATTTTCAGTGAAACATATTTTTTTTGCCACTTACACTGGAAAAAGCAGCTGCACATTTAGGAAAAAAAGAAGCTCCTGCAAAAACATAGACTACAGTGAAAGCACAGAAATAAGCATAGCATATTGAAAACTATCCAGTGCCACTGTTACCCTTCCTTTTGTCCTGTAAAAAACACAAAGCAGTCAGAGTTACTGACTTTAAGAGATTTCAGTTTTACTTTTTCAGGCTCACTCTTTAGATGTTTTCCTCCTTCTACACAATTGATATAAATGAATGGGTGTATAGTGTAATCGGATGCTAGCGATCCTAAAAGGGTGCTGAGGAAGTGATCTGATTTTAATCAGATGGGCTGTGGTGCAGAAACACCTGTGCATATAGTACATCAGCTACTAAGGAGAAGGGTAAGGTATCACTGCTTTTGAAAACTCCCCCACCTGCTTTTAGAACTTAGTCCGTAGTTTTCTGTAACTTTTTAGGTGATTCCCAAACTTAAGGTATTTTTACATTGGGTTTGTGAAAGAGTGTTTTCTTTTGTAACTCATAAAGCACTTTCAATAAATTTCTACTCGGGGCTTTCGGAAATGTGGCTGGTACTTTCAAAATGTGCTTTCCTGAACCTTTAGGATACTTTCTAAAATAAACAGTGTTCAGTTATGCAGTAATTTCTCTGGAAATTGGGCAAATTTCCTGCTACATTCCTACATTTCCTGCTATATTTTGAGTACTGTATGATTAGAAAACGCTACTGTTTTTGTTCTAAGACCTATAGTTTACTTTCTGTAAATGATGAAGGAATTTCCAGTAACTTAAACAGTTTTCAGAAATGTACAGTTATTTTTCCTTCTGGGTAGATATACAGTACTTTCTAAGAACATAAATATTACCATTGTGAAACTTATTCAAGTAGTTTCTTGGATCTTTTAACATACTGTCTAAAAGTTGAGTTACTTACCTTGAAATCGGAAAGTACTATCTTTGACCTTACACAATCTTTTCTTCAATGGATACATTTTCCTGGAACTTCTAAGGTTCTTTCTGCAAATACACCTAAACGTGTTTTCATTATGTTTTTAAAGATATCCCCAAAAGCTGACATTGTCAGATCTTATAGTTTGTTTTTTTTTCTTTTACCAAGAAGTTTCTTAGTGGGTACTTTTTGGGTATTTACTCATTAAGCATAATTTTCATATTTTCCTATAATGGACAGCTACTTT